AGATAGAGGAATTTTTGTCGATATCTTTTTTGTAGCGCGATGTGTGGACTAAAAAAAGGATTCATATACGAATTTCGCTATGTCCCGTCGTTTATAAGATATTCATCGATAATTGGAGCTCAGCCAACTGGATTTGGATTACCAATCCGGCACAGAGATCTTTTCCCAGTATATTTATAAGTAATGGTTTTCTCGGGAGTAAAAAATGTATTTTTGATATTAATATCGTGAAAAAACTCACCTATCAAGTGCATGGAGACTGAGCACAAGTGCCTGATCCCTGTCGTCGTCGGCGGCCCTTCTGGACCTTCTGCGCTCCCTGAGGGCCGTATGATCGTACCAAGCGGGCCCATAATGCCCAATAAATGTTCGCTTGACGATTCCTACCACAAAATGAGAAAAGTCGATTATTTACGCGTTTATCCACCCCCAAGGGCAATTTTAACTGTTGAATTTATTTATTAACAATTTTAGAACATCGTGTATATTTAATTTTTTAAATTATCAGTTTTAATGCACGTCGCGGAAAATTCTGCTTTAAAATGAGCATTTTTACTGAACGTGATGGTTACAGAGCCGAAAGTGAGGACTGCAATTACACTCGTTAGAAATTATTTGTTCTTCATATGTATCGTACAAAATGTTATGAGACTGGCGAAAAAACCATTTTTTGTCATAATAATTATGATGAGAGATTCTTTCGCACGCTCCACGCAGAACTCTTTTTTTTCATGGGTATTTAACAATTTTGTACGATAGACGTGAAAAAAAGGACTTTCTGACGAGTGTAATTACAATTCTCGCACTGGTTGATAAGTTACATTATTTTAATTACATTTTAGTATGACGCTGTAATATATTGTAACAATACTAGAGATGAACTATTTTTTCACTCGTATCAGTGAACGCATTTTATTTTATCACATCGAGACGTCTCGAATTGCTCACGTTATGTGCTATTTTCGATTTATCGACGTTGTACAATAAAACATCGTTCGATACATGTGCGGAAAATCCTATTTTAACGAATCCGATTATTGTAAACCTGTGATTTATTTAAAGTGGCATTGATGAGAAGCTGCTTGTTTTCTATTAATTGAAATAATCTGACTTTGATATAAAAGAAGGAATAATAGTGGTCGCCGGATTGTTTCCCCCGGAGAAAAATCTCTGGAAATTATTTCACCATCGGAATTTCGCCGGAAAATTTTCCAATATAATCTTCTCAGGCTTTTTTCGCTGTACTTTACCGCTGTAAAACAAAAATTATTTATTACGGTAGTTAATTGTTTACGGTGAAGAAAATTGATTTGAATGTCTCTAGAGATTTATTTTGATAATGTTAATTAATAAATAGCCATAATTAAGTAATTTATAATGAATCTTCAATGTTTATCATATCGTACTGATTATATGACATCAGAATGAATTTTTAAATATGGAAAATGAAATATGGAAATTTTTCCAGCCAATTTTTCCACGGTATTTTTTCCGGTAATTTTTACCGGAGAATTTTTACCGGAGAATTTTTACCGGTATTATTTCCCCAGGGGAAAAAAACCATAATAATGACAAATAAGAAATATTTTTGAGTGGAGGGTTGGAGTACGAACTGACCTTCGTGAGGCGGCAGCGGATGTAGTGGCCACGCGTCTACCAGCATGATACAGAGGATCGCGAGGGCCGGAGTTGGGACCGCGTACATCGCGATAAGTCCCCGGGGCCCCGCAACCTCGTCCAGTAGCGTATCACGAGTACCTTGTGCCCCCAGACTGGTGTATCCAGTTGTCCCCAAATCTATCAGCCAGATCGAGGCCCAGATGCATTACATCGTCGATCAGTCGCATCACTAGACCCCGAGCACCAAAATCGCCGGCAAAAAAAAACCCCCCACTCCCTACCACCAAACAAACATATTTATCACATTATGCACACCTTACGTAACGCAACTGCACGTGCCTTCCATCCATTTGTTACATAAATAAAAGCCCAACGGTATATTAAATAAACAACCGCGTGCCTCTCACATAAAAACTCAATGTTATCAGAACTCCCGTTACTCCACTCATTAAACCCCACGAATTTCCATCACCAGGGGATAAAGCGGGGGAAAAACGAGATGAATCATAACCGATTGGATAGATATGGCATCGCTGTATAAAACCGGAATCCACGGTTTGCTCAGGTAGGCGGTTGGTACAGGTAGACACAAAGCAAACCAAAAAGCGAGCATTGATTGATATGAAAGCGGATGTCAAGGGAGAGACAACAAACTAATTACATGTGTTTATTTTTTTTTTATTTTTTAAATTGAATTCCCCTGGAATATGAGTTGTCACACCTACCTGTTTGAGGCACCGTTTGTCCTTAATTTTTCCGGATTTTTCCCACTCTCCGGTGCCAGAGCTCAATCCCATCGAATGTCTTTCGTCATCACTCGCTGTTACAAATTTCCCGTCACTTTTCACAGTTTATCCGATTGTCACGTGGACCTTACGCCAACGGATCTCAGGAGTGCTCTCATTAATCACTCGAGGGTGAATTAATAAAAACAAACAATGGGAATGGAGGTGTGGAGTGCGTCTGAGGCAGAGCTCTGGTCACTTCTGTTTCACCACTGGCTGTTTCTGTGTGTTTCTGTTTTGAAGCCGAGGGGGAGAGCACGGGATGGGTGGAAACGGGTGGTGGAAACGGTGAACGAGGACTCATCCGAGGACAACGACTCCCTCCTTTCCGTCATCAGTGGTATTTTTCATTCTCTTCTAGTTTGCGTTGGGGAACATCGGGCTCTCTCCCTCGGGCTCATTGCCTTTTGCTCAGGGAGAGGTGGTGGTACGACGCGCGCTCCAGTTCGATCCACCCCGACGAACCCTCCGCCAGGGTGGGGGATCATACCCCTCGATTCCTCGATCCCTCAACCCCTCAACCCCTCATCGGCCCATCCCTCTGGGAGTAGGGGGTTGTAAATAGCTCGGAGACTGCATGAGGAGTTACAGACGTTTCTTGACCTTTTTATTGAGGGGTTGATTGGTGGGCTTGAGGGGGCGCATGACTTTTCGGGGGTGGAAACATTCTCCAAGGCATGCTGATGGTGGGACCAGGGGCGAGGGGAGGGTACAAGTGTCTGGATTATGAGGGGGAGGTGATTTTTTCGATTTTCGGTTTCAGGGTTCCAGGGCCAGGTCCGGAAAGTGACGTTTTATGGATTTAAAAAGACTTTTCAAAGGGATTTTACTTGTTTCATGACGAGTTAATCAGGTCTCCCGGTTTATTGGACATAAGATGTGGGTGTATGGGGCTTTAGTAGAAAATTCTTCAGCTTTTACGGAAATTGGATCGAAGTTTTAGTGGAATTGTATGAAGAATTCTATTGGTTATTTTTATGATATCATTTATTAGTGTTTTTCCTGGAGAGTTAATCCGTTGGGATTTTTGGGGCACAAGTGGATTGAAACGGTTGTTTCTGTTGATTTTTTTTTTTTGAATTTTCGTTGTAGTGGAGGGAACTGGAGATTTTAGTCCGACATTTGGAATATTAAGGGACTAGAGTATTCGAGAATTGAAGAGGATTATTGCAGAGGATTTTGAGAGCTGATGAATGAAAAATAACTTTTGATAAAACTCTTGCTCGGGACTGAAATGTACTATTAATATTTCATGAGAAAGGTTCTACGATAATTATTTATAAATTCAACTTCTCTCCTAATAATCGAAGGAACTCCAAAAATGTTTCCAGATGTTGAATTTTCTTTATAGAATCTGTAATTATTTCAACTAATTCAAAACTATTTATAATTACCTCCATTCATTTTGAATTTCTTCAAGAGTAATTCCCTCCGAATAAAATTATATGAGAGTCTATGTAAAAAAATTATTTAAATTCTCCCTTGTGCGCAAATATCGATTGATATAAAAATGATTTTAGAAGAAAACGACGAGAGACCTTTTCTCTTGGAAATTCGATAATAAAAGTCCCATAAAAGCATTTTAATATTTTACTATAAAAAGACTAGTTTTCGAGATAGATCAATAATTTAAGAGAATACTTAAGGATGGTCCGCCCCCTTTTAGTAAAAATTACCGGGTTTTCAAGTTTTCTGATAGATTGATCGGATTGACGCCTCTGTAAAAAGTTTATGCGCTGTAAAATAGCCCAGATTAAAGCACGATCTTCTGGCAGTATACACCCTCACTTGACTGATTGCACTCTGCAACAGCTAAAATATAACTATATATTTTCCACCCTAACTATTCTCAATTATGTAAATTTATGAACTTCCCGTAATTATTCCTCGAATACAAAACGCACAGTCGAATTAAATTTTTTTGGGCTGTATTGAATGATGCGGCTTCAACCCCAAACAATTTTTATTAAGAAAAATTAATTTTAAATTTATTTAATTTATTTATTTTCTAACGTTTTTATTTCTATTTGGAGTATTGAGTCGTTGATAAAAAAACAATTTAATTCGTGAGGCTCTATTTAAATACGTGAGAAGTTATTTAAATTTGGAAAATTTCTATCTCAAATTCAGAATAGAAAATTTTAAACTGGATGTGATCGTTTAGCAGCTACTTTTTTAAATTATTGACTATAAAAATTTAAACAAAGATTGTCCAGTAAATATTTACTAGAACCTGCAGTCTTCAGCAGGTTCAGCTGTCAAGACAGATGCCTGGATTATCGTCACGACCATGTGCCCTCGGTTATTCGTGGAATTGTCAGATTTTGGAGTTGTCAGTTGAACCACTGGCGACGCTGCAGACTCCAAAGTTCCCCCAGTCTGTAAAAATCCATCACAGCTGACTCGATTAAAACTGAAAGTCGAACTTTTGCTTTTGGAGCACGAGGATTTAGCAACACAACTGCTGAGTAGTTTAAATCGAGCTATTGTTGACGACTGATAATTGTTTATCGAGTGATCATGGCCGCCGGTGTCATTGGGGCATGCAGAGTCACGGGGCCGGTGATTGGAAAAACAAATCTGCCGATCTTGACTGCCACTCGGTACACATTATCACGATTATTCCATTATCGCTCTATTCTGTTTATTTTTTTTTGTCACGGAGTTAGAGCTCTTTGGCGTTTATTTTCTGATTGTTGATGGAATTAATTTATTATTTATTTCATGATGAACAGAGTTGTTGGAGGGGAATTCCTCAGGCCACTGCTCCAGGGCCTTCTGCCAAATTAGATCAAATTTCGGTCGCACTTTGTCATTGCAGTATCGTGATGTTACTAGAATACTCGTGCATGATTTATCACGAGAATAAATTCATTCTGAAAAAAACGATTTATTTCGAATGAGAAAATATTCAGAAAATATCTCATCCAGAATTTAAAATCGTGATGGGAAAACTAAATATTTTGTTTATTTAAATGTTCATTTGAATACTGAATACTCAGCCGTGAAGTATTAAATACTTTTTCTCCATTATTGCTCGTAATGTGTCGTAAATGTTCAGCTCACACTGAGGAAAAAAGCCTTTCTCCAGAAAGAGATTCTCTTGTTCCACGAGAATTATTAAGACCGAATGAAGAGAAAAGGATTTGCATCTTTTGTACGATGAGAAAAAACAAATAATTTGAAGTGAATACGTTCGAGAAAATTGCATGTGTGAAATCTCTACATAAAATCCAGTTTAATACCCGTTTCACATCAATTAGTTTGGTGGTAATGAAGTTAATTGAAAGTAGAATATCGTTAATAGTTTAATGAGCCTGACGGCTGCAATGGCATTCGCTGGATTTAAGCCGTATATTTTCTAGGATTTTTCAATGAATCTAATTCTGTCCAGATTCGTGAGTAAATCAACGACATGCCAGGACAGCGAAGGCTGGCTTAGCAAATTAGGTGTCCGGAGAATGGAACCAACCAAGGAGTCTCACTCCCGTATGCTATCGGATAAAGAGGTCATTTATGCATTGCACACGCATAACATCCGACCAGATTCATACGACAAATACATCAAGAACTAGTAACTACGAATTATTTATCTTTTAATCTTGTGATCGTTAAAAAAAGACTTCTTACTTTGAGGAAAAATCTTTGAATTCCCAGAAGGCTCGAAACGCCTTCCTTCGTTTAATTAAAAAACCTGAATTTCCCTTTAAATACGAAATATTAATGCAAATTTTTAGCAATTCCCGTAAATATCTCTATCTGCTTCCCCGAAAAATTGTCAATTTCATTTTGACGAAATCCCTTGAAATTATTGGGAAAAACATCTTGGCTGGATGCAGAGAAAAAAATCTTTTAATGGTAATGTGAGAATAAGTGAGAAAGTCATTTATGCTCATTAATTTCAAGATATTCCATTGTAGTGTTTACATTTGGGAATATGCGGTAGAGACTCTATATTTAAACTATCTATAGGTGATTACATGGAAAAACTATTACTGAAACTTCAAGAACATTGTGAGTTGGGAAATGATGATGAAATGAAAAAAAAAATTATTCAAAAACTTAAAAAACCGGTGTATATATAAAAAAACGACGGGACTAAAGTCTTTGAAATTTTGAGAATACCTTTTCAAAGTGCCCAACAATATGCAGTTTAAAATTAACGTCTCTGGTATATTGTGAATTTTTTCACAAGTATGAACTCCGGAAATACCTCAACTGAAATTGAGAAATTTTCTGTCTCTCTAATGATGAAGTAATCATGAAAACTAATTCTTTTCTTTGCACATTGGTTGGTGATTGTTGGGTATTGCAGCCAGGAGAACGTCGATCTTATCCATTCCAAGAAGGGTGAGTTGAACCACGAACTGGTCGCTTCCTGGACAGTCGAAGTTGGAGATCTAGATCAGGCGATACACCTCTGGCAGTACACTGGGGGATACGAGAGAGTCGACCACGCACAATTACATTTATCGAAGGATGAGGTACGATAATTAACGAGACCTAAGGTCCACCTCTATTTTTTTTGTTTCCACCAGTAAAATTTGATTGAGCCGAATTTAATCACCGAAAGAATGGAATAATTACGAATTATTAATACACTTATTCCTAAATTATGATTTCTTTTCGAGACATATATCTGAATCTTAAAGAGGTAGTGCAATTTTTGTAGATATCTTTTTGGAGTTCTCATTCCACTCTACAAAACAAGTCCTGAAAAAAAATTCTTTAGTTCTCTTAGATTCAGAGATATTCATCGGGACCTCGAGTAGGGAAGTCAACTTATTGCCCTTTACCTCTTGTCTAATGATGTTTGTGGTGTTTTGTTTTCCTCGGTACCCTCCAGTCTTATCAGCGATTACTCAAAGAGCGCGGCAATTATCTCCGCTCTCGACATCTCCAGTATCTGCTGGCATTTAGCTTTTGGCCGCAGATTGTTAACCGAGCAGGACCAAATATTTATGAAATACGTAGCTACAGACTCAGACCCGGCACTATGATCGAGTGGGGAAATAACTGGGCTAGAGCCATTAATCATAGGAGAAATAATGACGAGCCGTTCGCCGGATATTTTTCACAGATTGGGAGATTGTACAATGTACATCATATCTGGTGTAAGCTATTAATATCTTTACAGTTGAATCGGGTTATTGTATTAATTGTTCAGAAGTGTTGAATGCAGTCTTTTGAATTTTCACAATTTTCAATAATTCTAATTATCCATGGGCTTGGAAAATAAATTATTGAATATTTTGAGAATCCCTGGACTTTTCACGAACAAAAAATAGAAAGGAAATTATAAATACGAAAATCTCATTTTTAACTGATAATTCATAAAAACGGAATTGAGTTTAAACAATTTAAGTAATTAATCAACTCCGAACCACAATTAAATAATCAAATCATTTAAAATAATTTTCACCTAAATTTTTACCTTTTTTTATGTGAAAATTAGAATATCATCACTTAAATATTTCAAATGGATTTTGTAATTGGTGAACAAAATGGAATTCGATGATTTCTCCTGAATATGAGTTCCCCCGTGGACACAAAATTGATTTGTCCTCAGAAAATAATGATTTTGTTGCTCGTAATTAGGCTACAAGGACCTGCAATCGAGAAAAGAGACTCGTGAAAGTGCCTGGCGTTCCCCAGGTTGGGATGAATGCGTGGCGTACACCGTTCCCCTCATCCGAGAGATGCACTGTCGTATTTTGCGACCCACCACCTTCTCTCCCACTCAATAAATCCAGAAGTAACAATTAAAAAAACACAAAGAAAGCGTCAATTTAATTTGCAAACTGCCTCTGGCATATTTCGAAGTCTACCTTCTCCTCTCGTCGAAAACCTTTGGAAATTGATTTACATTTATTTTATATATGTATAAATGGATAGAAATTGAATAATCTTGTATCGTCGTTGTTGATAATAAAAGATATGTACGGGAAGACTTGTATAAAATATGTAATAAATATTGTTACTCATTCATTTGATTATCTCTTCGTTGCTCAGAACAAGATGCCTCAAATGTTGAGCCACTACAATCATTTCCACTACACCTGATCTTTTTTTATATATTTCTCGCTAATTCATTCAATTGCTGAAGAACAGTTTCATGAAGAGACATGAGCTCGCTTATCATCATTGAGGATTTCATTTGTTGTTGATTTTTTTTATGTTCCTTCGATGCGGTTTGGTATGTAGCACCGGCATTTGATACCGTTGAAGTGCCGACAGCCGAATATCAATGTCAGCACTGATAGAATGGAATACAAAAAATTACTCTTTAACTAATTATTTTTCTTGATACCTCAGTAGTAAAGTGAGAATTTGAATTATGGATTTACTTTGAAAATTATTGATGTAGGATGGAATGCTAGAGAACGTTTTTATAGGTAATTAAATTTTTGATTAGAAAGGTGATTTGACACTTTCTTCTAACATCAATAGTTTTATTAATTGATGGATATTCAATAAAACTATAAACATTTGTTTGGAATGAATTAATCATTCTATCAGTGCACAAATTTTCCTGATGAAATCGATTGCTCAGTAATTAAAACTATCTAATTAATGTGGTTGTCTTGCAGATTTCAACATTTTTAGAATTGAACGTGTGAATGATGTTTGATTTTCGCTAATAATTGCTAATGATAATCGTGGCGGACTGCAGGTAAGAAATATTCAATGAATATTGATTTTTTTTTGTCGCTCAGTCCGTGAATGACAAAAAATATTGTTCATCACTCGGCCGAAAAGAACTCAGACTGTAAACTCACAATCACCAGGAAAATTCCCACCGGCCCAATGACGAAATATACTATATTTCAATTTCATAGATTTTCTTTGTAATTTCTCCAATTCATTAAATTTTTCCTACGTGAATTTCCCTGACAGGGCCTCTATTATTTTATAATTCGGGTTATAATATTATTTTCAAATCCTGCAGGTGAAAAAATCCTGAAAAATGAAAATTCTCCACTAAGATAAATAAAAACAAAATTAACGCACCCAACGTGCATGATCTCCCGCAGATAAATGATTTTTAGAAACATCTAAAACAAGACGTTCAAAAATGAAGAATAGAAACCCTTGAAAAATCTCCCCTGCAAGACTCCCACAAGAGGTAATGAATTGATTCCGCAAATGAATAAAATGTATGCGGACTGAAAAAAAAAAATGATTCGCCCTCTGAAAACACCGAGCAAGCTCCGGATAATCCCGGAAAAGTAGCAAACGCGTCTCAATGTTCATAAAAAAGACTCTCACTCTAAAATCTTAACGGCGAGGATAGCAAAGAGCAGTATTAATTAATGGTACTATCGTTAGAATATTATTATTGTTGTCTGCTGATAATATTATCATACTATTACCATACCGTTAATTACTTTAGTTTCAATCTTTTACTTAATGGAACTGTATTTAATCTATTAATAGTTGATTGGTATATACTCGCAGCAATTACTTATAATACAAACAAATGTCATTCTCGTGGTAATCAACATAACTGGAGTTGACCAGGGGTTTGGTCACTAGTATCATTTAATAATTAACTCATTTACCTAAAAACCGCTGTCTGGCCTCTCAAATCGTTCATCGAAGGGTGAATTCACTTAATCCCATCTTTGCGTATAAAATAGTCGGTAGACACTATGTACACGACGCTTGACGACGACATTGAGATTCAGATTACTGTTATCGTAATTATTAAATTTTCTTTTTCTTTTAATTTTGTCAAGTAACATCACAGCATATTAAAAGAAAAGAGGGAATTGAACGGAAGATTGAGTGATAAAAAAGGAAATTTTGTAGCCTAATGTGTTCGTTACTGAACACTGATTATAATTAAGCGTAAAAATTTTCATTTGTAAAATTACCGAGCCCACCACATGGTGTATTGCACCTCACTGTAATTCCATACTGTTACCACGTGGGATTACAATACATCGATGAGTTCTTTTTGCTTATGATTAAGGTATTGTTCAATGGAAAATATAACAAAATTGTGGTAAAAACGTTTCTTCACTTTTATAAATGGTTGAGTCAGTAGTGGAGTGGTAAAGAACGCATTCTGAAAATTATAAAAATATCTTTGACAGATTTTTTCCAAGTGGATATGATTCCCTGAAATATTTGCAGAAATTTCAAATTATTTCTTGACTACAGAATTCCATTGAATTCAGTAATTGAATCAATTTCAATTAAAAAATATAATTTCGTGATTTTTTAATTAAGTTTGAAAAACGGTAATTTTTAAAACTTGAATCTAAAAAATTCCAACGATCATTTGACGGCCAACATTTTCCTCACTCTACATTTACCACTTCACAAATTAGTTTACAGAAGATAGTGCTGATAATGGAAAATCATGAGAACAAATAACGTGGCACAATCAACTGATTCTCGATTGACGATCGACTGACATGAAGATAAATTATGAAACAGACCTCGAAACAGATGATGGCCAGATAGTGGATCCCATTGTGGTCGTCGGAGTCTGTCTCTTCACCCCCGAATCAAATTCCACTGTTTCTCCCTGATTGGGGGACTCGAAAAGGAACTACACACGTACACAATAACGCTAACGTTCTCATACAGAGAAAATTCTCCTTCTCAACCAATAATGAATCTTCCCGTAAGTTTTGTCAGAGGAAACTCCAGTGGTGAAGTGGTAAAGAGCAGATTGTTTGTCAAATATCCTTGAAAGAATTTTCCAGCAGTGCAAATTTCAAGAGGTTTTTCTTGCGAATATCTCGGGCACTATAAGTGCAAATAAAAATGCTGAGATAAAAAAAAAATATTGAATTCTCTTCAAAAGTTCTAATGATTTTTGCTAAATTGATTCACCCCAACAGATATTCTCAGAAGAGTCTACAAGTAGATTTTTAATTAATCTTCATTTTACCAATTTACTACTGATCTGAGTTTCTATATAAAAAGAAATAAACGAGAGAAATAATAGTAATTAGTCCCACTGTACTATCGACTCATTGTAGTGCACGAGTCGTTGTTGAACGTGTGGCCGTATTAGGTATATTGACGATTATTGTAATTAAAGACTACTTGGAGGAAATGACGTGGAGCTATTGCTGTGGGCTAGACTCAGCATTGAACCACTCAGGCTCTCGTCGTCTGGGTAAGACTCTTTAGATGCTTCGGCAATTGCTAGAGCACTGAAAATCAAAAACATTGACGGTAAATAATCTGAAACCATTGAGTTAAATTACTAATAATCGAAATGATAAATAATATCTTAAAATAGATTTGTCACCTAAATCCAACTCGCGCACTCTCCTCATCGAATTGTTGTAACTCACGTTCCTGTCTCTCATGCAACAAACGTATCCTTTCGCTACGTTCTTGAAGGAATTCCTGAGTTTCTAATTCCATTTTTTGTTCTAGCAGAGCCCGTCTGACTGATACACGATCCTCTAACTCGCGTCGTTCACGATTGCGCTGGGCCTCCGCTTGCATTTTATTCTTTGACTGATAGGCCATCAATATCTCTAGCTCGTAATTAAGCCTCTCCTTGAGATGATGGCATTCAAGCTCCTGTGACTCGTCTAACCTGATGCTCTGCTTCTGAAGCATCTCAGCAATACTTTGCTCATACTGATCACCAAGTAACGCCAACTTTCGCCTCTGTTCCTCCTTCAATTTCTTAATAACGGCTTTTTGTTCATCCCTCGGCGTCGTCTGCAGAATTTGGGCTTTGAATGCCTTGTACTGGCGTGTCTGTATCTTGCACGTTTCCCTGAACTGCTTTCTGATCTGCGTCTCCTTCTGCTTCAGACTCTTGGGCTGTTGTTTCAATTCAAGTGCATGCTTCTTACGGAGATCTCTCTCAGCCCGTTGCATGTACTCCTGCTGATTGCAGAGTTCTGTGGCATGCTGACGCTGAATCTGCTCTTCTCGCAGTGAATGCACTGCTCTTTGTTGTCTATACTCTAATTCCTGGGTTTTGTCGTGGTGTCTCAGCAACATCGCGTGCGCCTGTTCCAATTGTTGTTGGCGTTTATTCAGTTCCTCACGCAGAAGCTCCTGTTCAAGACTATGAAAAATGAGCAATTTTTTTCTCCGAAATTTTCGTATCTCCAGATCGAGGTACTCTCTCTGTCCCCTAGCGAGTCGCTGCTCCTCCTGAGCCTCCATCTGCCTGAGATTATCCTTCTGGCTCTGAAGGGTTGCATCACGTTGACGTTTGGGGGTAACCTCATCCTGAGAGAGTTCTCTTTTCCACCTCTCCTTATACGCCTTGTACTCGCGCTTCTGCTGTGTCTCGAGTGCCTTGCGATCAGCCTCCTGTCTGCTGATGATCTCCTTCTGCAGCTTCTTCTCAGCATTTTGATTTTGCTTGAGCTTGCGCTCCATCTCTTGGAGATGCCTGAACTGGAGTTTCTCGAGTTCCTTGCTGAACTGCTGAAGAAGGGTTTCGTACTCCTTATCGAGGAGTTGCTTGTGTGACTCTACCTCCATTTTGCAGCGTTCCTCCAGCTTAACAAGGGCACCCTGGTGCTCTCTTCTCATTCTTTTATACCCAGACATCTGCTCGTGCATCTCCTCCTGCATGTGTTCCTTCTGCTGTTTCGTGACAATCGATGTTGTTCTTATTGTTGCAAAATTATTGGCACCGTGCTCCAGTAAATTGGCAGTAACACCTGCTGATACCTTGTGACGATTTCTCACTGATCCAGAGGAATAGTCGTTGGTGTCATTGACGTTGGGCAGTGGTAAACTGTTGGTTGAGGAACTTTGAGAGCTCGCTGACACCCCCATCGAGTGAATCGAGTGCTCTGACGTTATGGAATTGCTCTTGCTGCTGTCACCACCTGTTTGCTCGTCTGGTGTGTCATCAGCATCTCCCACTTGACTCTCGCTCTCACATGCATCGATCATTAGAATTTTTTTCATTTTTCGGTAGTTCAAATTGTCCAACTCACGAACTGCCCCTTTTGTTCGCTGAACCAGGTCAGTCAGCACTTGAGGGGATCGTGTCCTTGTCACGAAACCGTGCTGAGAGAGAAATTCATCTTAATTAGCTGGTGAACGTGGTGCATATGGAAATAATAATAATCATAATAATTGCGAGAAGAAAACTTGAGAATTTCTAGCGATAATTAAACAAATTGTTTCCATTGCCGCTATTACATGTTGAGGTGCAATCTCAAGGATTTCTTGGAAAGTTCTTGGATGTTTTGAAAAGAAGCAAAATTCCTGGTTTTTGTTTAGAATTTTTTAGATAATTTTTAAATTTTCCTTTTTTTACGATGAAATTTCCAAATGCAATTATTATATGTAATTTTTAAAACTCCTACAAAATGAATATAAAATGAAACGAATATAAAATGAAATGAATAGAAAATGAAACAAAAATCATCATGATTCCATAAAATTTTAAACTAGCCAATTTTATAATCTTAAATCCTTTAACCTACCGATAATAATTTACCAGACGATGGCCTCTCATTAGGACTCTTCGTCAAGCAAACCTCGACAAAATTTCCAAAAACATCAGCCCAGTTTGGTGAATTTAACGTTGGCGTATCATTCTGGGCAATATGATAGAGTGCACTCATCGCATTCATGTTGAAATACGGTGGCTTCCTCTCGGCTGTGGGCAAAAAAAAAATCCCATCACAAATGAGAAAAAACAATTCCACTAATCTGCCAACAGTGCGATAAGAAGCAGGAAGTTGAGACGAATTGAAAGAAGTCAGAGATGAAAGATCGGTAGAAAGCAGTAGAGATGCATTACCCAATTCTATACACGTGATTCCTAATGACCATACGTCGACCTTGCCGTCATATTGGCCCTCGTCCATAGCCAGAATCACCTCTGGCGCCATCCAGTAAGGTGTCCCCACGAAACTGTTGGCTGGACACTTTATACTGGCTGAGCCAAAATCAGCGAGTTTGACAGTGCCATTTTCAGTCAATAAGATGTTTCCAGCTTTGACATCACGATGTATTCTACCGAGAGAGTGAAGATAATGCAAGCCACGCAGAACACCCTCACAAATTGCTGCTATTTCGTCTTCCTTTAATGGCCGTTTGTGTACTTCAATTATATCGGAGGCTGAGCCAACACAATACTCCATAACGAGCTGGAAAGTCATTATTAAATAGTCAGTCAGGGGCTAACGAGTAACTGGCGAGCAACTTCTGATGAGAAATTGGTTGGCAAAGTTTCTGTGGATTAATTGATACAGGTACTTTTATTATTCTGTGGGAATTCACTTAGTACTTTATGAATTTTCGAAATTTTTATGAATTACGATGAAGAGAAATCAGATGATTGGAGGTTTCAGAATGCGTTTTCTCCTAAATGTAGACATTTAAAAAATTAAAAAATTAAAATAAAAAGAACATGGGAGATAATAAATTAACAAGCGTAATGCAGAATAATTGGTCTCACCCATGCTGTATGATCTCTGAGATAGCACCCCTTGTATTCAATGGTATTCGGATGATTCAACTGTCTCAAGAATCTTATCTCCTTGAGTATATCCTGCCACTTATCCACCGTCTGTTTCCCCAAATACGACATTTTCTTGATGGCAACGATTTCCTCGGTGAGTAGGCATCGTGCATAATAAACAGCCCCAAAGCTACCATGTCCAATCTCCCTGAGATCTTCGAAAATTTTCTCGGGGTCGTTCTTCTCGAAGAGCTCGGCAATCTCCGGATCCTTGAGACTACCAGGCCTGGGTCCCATCGGCATGGTAGCTATGTCAGATTCACCCAAATGTCTGTTATCTCGTCCAGGCGTAATTGGCTCCACCCCACCACCAAGTGAATTTCTTTACTCTCTTCTCATGTGTTCCACTTCGGTATCCCTTGTCAGTCCATCATCCGGTCCGTCCTATTCCCGCGTCACTCTGGAATCCCTGTGAGAATTATCATTCAAATCATCATCAGGCTACTTAAAAAATTCCAAATTAATTATCCACACAATAAATACGTAATCCTCAGGGCCAAGGGCAATCTCGCTGAAATGCATTCCGACAGATAATTGAATCGAATTGGATTGATTAAAATAAAACTGGTGTAAAATTATCATATTTTTCCTCATTTCCAATCATCTCCAAGTTTTTCTCATCTCAGTTCTTATTAATTTTTCATTTTGCAGATTGTTCTCTAATTTTTCTCATTATTCTTGTTCCTAATACTTTTAAAATATTACTGTAACTATCTGTTTTTTCTAATTTTGTAAATCGTACACAATATAATGCATAGTTAATAAGTGTCCCTAGTATCCATAAATTGGATTGTTTCCTTCGCCACGAAAGATATTGCTAGGATTTCCTCCTAAACCCACTCTCTGCCGAGATAAATCCATAATTAAAGAGAATAGTGAATTGGTCGGGGTAAGAATGATGCGAACTCTTTCCATTTCTTCCCAATTTCAAGTTAGTTCTCCCACCAGCAGCGAAACTTCTTTCATCATAAAATATGATAGTTTCAATGTTTCATCACTTCACTACTAAATTCGATTCCCAACGAAATCGTTCGCGTCATTCCTAGGAATGCTGTGACACATATCCTGAAGTGACTGTGGTTAGAAAACATACAAGAGAGTTAAAATATTGTAGATATGTAATCAGGGATCGGCCACTAACGACTGCATTCAATTAAAAATATTGCGCTGCAGTTACACCTCACCAACTTCAAACTATAATCGACGAAAAATTCATAATTAAATCCCCTCGTCGAATAATCCTCGATACTTGAAGAGAATTCCCTCACTCAGAAATCTATCTTTCAACAAAAAAAATCTAACTCCCTAGAAGAAACGATTTACACAAAGAAATGAAATAGTGTCTCTCACTTCACGTAAACGACCAAAACCCAAATTTCCTCAATCAACAAAGACAAATAAAATTAAATCCCCTGTTTGAAAATCATAACTCCCCGAGATACCCCAGTAAAACCGAATGAAATCCCAGTAAAATCCTCGCCCAAACTCCCCCCATCCCTGTAAAACACCCAGACACTGATAAATCCCGAGCCCAAAGAATAATCAAAAGAGAAACCCAAAATAATCAATTGAACACACCGTCCCCAGTGGTTTCTATTCCATTCAGCTGAATTCCTCCAAAACCCAGACACTGCGTGCACAACTGCATTTCCCTCTCCCCTGATGGTAGAAAAAAAAAATGTTCAAACCCTGAAACCCCAGGCCCATTGATGGAATCCCGATTCGAATAGTAGCCCTACCTCGACGATTCCCTGGGCACAAATCCACTGAACTTGAAGTGAAATGTCTTTTTTTCAAGCGAGTTATATTCACCTACAAAATGGCGATAACGTGAGCTGAGACATGCGCGCGCTGTCTGGTTCGGGATAATAGGTTTGGTCCTACCCTTTCACGGGCAAACAAAAAATTAACGAAATGATAAATTCACTACGACTCGTCCTTATCACCTATCCGTTATCACCCCACCGGTATTATCCTTAGGTGACGGTCTCAACGAAACAATACCGATGTCAGGGCGACTATTACTCAACTATTTCCCTGTTTTTTTTTTCCCCCATGAGTATTGACTAGGAATTTTCTCACTCTCACCGTATATGTATCTGTTATGCATGTACACGCCCTGACGAACGTGACACGAGCATTACCTCCACCCCGAGCACGCACTATCACTTTGTTTGAATTATCCGATTTTTCCGGGTGACGAGATTAACGGGGAGACGCGCTGTGAAGGTCGTACCCGTTGGGGATGATTCTTCCCTGACGGATGCACAATATGGATTGGGCATGGGGATGAGGTATTTGTGTACATGGACCTAGGCTCGATACGTCATCTCGGGGGGATGGGGTGCGGTGACAAGGGCGAGTCCTGACAGTTATCACTGTTGTGGGGGTGTAAGGGTGGATTGACACGGGAATATTTATTTATTCAGAGGATTATTCAAGACCTACCGACTGACTCACGACACTTGGGACCATATGCAAAAAATGTGTATTTTCGTTGGTTGCTGGGTGACAACAAGGGGGAGCTAGCGGCGGGGGAGGTACTGACACTTGCCGCAATTGCTACAATTGCTGGACATGGGGCCCAGCTGTCGTGGTAAGGTAGGTATCTGGTCAAAGCCGGATTTTCTATTATTTCCGTCGAAGGGATAGAGTAGACTCAGTAGAGAGCAAAGAGGATTGACTAAATAAAAGTAGAGGCTCAGTTCTGGGGATTTGAGTGAACTCACCAGCATTGTAGTACCTCATCTCAAGAGAGAGAGGGCGCAAAATGCTCTCCTGATACATTTTTGAAAATTTCAAATTTTTTAATTCCAGTGAATACTTCCTCGATGTTCATGCACTCCTGATACTTTTCTAGAAATTTCGAATTTTTCAATCTCAGTGAACACCAATTTCGTAACGCAGAAAATAACATTCACCCCAAAGAGGATTGACCAAAGTAGAGGCTCAGTTCTGGGGGTTTGAATGACCCCAGCGGCATCGTAGTAGCCGACCCCATAAGAGGGAGGGCACCACACGCAATGCTGGGGTATCTGTCGTTAGCCGACTCAGCGACTTTTCAGTAGTATCCCTCCAGCTTCCCTTTTAATAACTCTGAGCTCTTCGATGCCTCAGATTCCACTGACTGGAATTTTTGACGAGCTGATTTCAAAGCCTCCGACTGCTGATTATTTGTGTTTGAACGAATTAACAGTTATTAAAAATATCTT